GTCTCTATCGGCATCACCACGAAATAAGAAGCCAGCGCAGGAAGGCGGGCATAGTTCCTAACTTATACTTGCAAAACTTATCAAATGTGTTCACTTGGATGTGGTCAAATCCTCAATGGGTAATAAGCTAAATATTATTTATTATATCATAATGTAAAGTACTAAATCCTGTAAAATTTAGCTGTTTATCAAAATCTGGTCGGTAAATATGAAGAATAGTTTAACTTTTTGTAACTTAAATAAATTTACTTATTGTTAGTAAAAATAAAAATAATTTGAAAGTTTTTTTTTCAAATTGTAAAGAAATACATGAAGTTAGATCTCGGTATTGACATGTAGCTATGTGATTTTCAAAAACTTTATAACAAATATCACATACTTTTATATTCAAGTTTGTCATTTCTATTCAATGGTCTTCTCTACTACAATAACTGCTCAGACAAAGTGGAAGTGCACATGCAGAACTGGATCATTTATTAATAAGCTCATTGCTTGTGATACAACTATATATTTGAACATTTTGAGATTTTGTATTTAATATTTTTTATTATATCAGTACCTTCAACGATTACTAATTCAAAATATTGAAATTGGTAAAGTAGTCACACCGTATCTGATACTGAACAAATTATTGAACGAAAAATGTTGTATAATATTCTTTATTATCTTGATAGAAGATTTTACAAGACCCTATATTTCCCATTACCTTATTAAATTTATTTATTGCCAGCTGCACCCCGACTTCATACGTGTGGAATTTGACATAAAAGTTAAAGAATATATAATGAATGTACAACTGTATATAATCTATGTTGCTAAATAATAAAGTAACCCATTAATAATTTATGTGAATCCGAATATTAAACTCAAATGCACTTAATTTATAATTATTTACCATTGCTACTTGAAGGTATAAAAAGCAGTAAAAATGTATCAAAATATTTGAATTGAGATAAAAAAAATTATATGATATAAGAGTATATACGATTTATTGAATTGAATAAGATAAAATTAAAAACATATATTATCAATTAAATATTTTATATTAATATTTTTATCTTAATATTTTTAGGTACTCTACAAGGATGTGCATCCGAACATAGCTATCAGCTCGCTATAAGAACTGAAGGAATGGTTCCAGATATTGTCAAATACCTTTCTTCAGATGACAGAGAATTGCAGATGCATTGCGCTAGCTGTCTTTTTAAATGTTCCGAAGATAAGGTAAAAAATAGCTATATAATTCCTATACAATAGTTTCTCTCAAAAAATCTCTATTTAACCCTTTCCACTCGGACGCCGCCGCTCCGCGGAATTAGCAAGGAATTAGCGAGTAGAAAGGGTTAAATTTAGAAGATTTTGCTTATTCATGGTAATAATAATAGGGTAGGTCGGGATATAAACGTTTACTTTGAGCAATTATATTGTGAAAACCAAATCAATTATATCACAAAATACACATATCAAACAAATAACTATATGACTATGCTCAGTAAAACTCCCAGATGATTCATCATTGTAGAATTGTGTTTTTTGCAATTTTTCAAAAATTTGTCACGTGGTCTTTTTTACGCAATAGAAGTAAAATCGGATGATCAGGGGGCAAACAAGTCCAATGTCTTATTTTTATTTAAAATAGCTGCATTATTCGACCAATGCAAAATATAATTTATAGGTACATTTTCATAGTGTTAACTCAGTTGTCTACAAAAGTTACTGTTATAAGTAAGAAATTAAATAATTAATTGTCATTGTCATGTCCAAAGGATGCGACTTCCATGATAACTTATAATTATATAATTGTTCTGTCTAAAACGCGAGTTGGCTAGCTAAGTATCATTACAATACTCATATAATAAGATAATTATGATCATTTGCGGGTTAAATACGTTGTAAAGTAATTCATTCTATGAATGCATTATACGTATATGCAAAACTACTTTTTACAAGTTTCCATAATGTCTTTATCAGTAGAATTTAAATAATTTATATTGCAGCGCTAATTGTAAGCACTTGAAGACAATGATTTACTTCAAAATTTTCCATAAAGAGCGTAGTGCCTAAAAATTGTAGAATACTAAGAACAATTTATTCAATATTCGGCACCTTGCATTTTTAAAGCGTATAAAAAATTAATTCTAAGTATCATTTGATTTGATCTTTGACGAACTTTAAAAGTGAACTAAAGGGTTAATATACGTATAAAATTAAGATAATCGTCCCACGGGCGATTATTACTGTCAGAATATATCATAAATAAAAAATGTCTAATGCTTATTATGCAATTATTTATTTTATCTGAATAGATTTTTCAAAGTAAATTTTTGTAGCTAAACTATAATACTACAATACACACATATCAGATTTAATGATAAATTAGAATTTATTTCGGCAATATTTGCTTATTATTTTTCTATGAAAACTATTGCTCTATCATATATCAACTATATATGTACATTTAAAATAAAATAATCATTATTAATTCACTTAAAGTATGTATTAGTATATGAATTGCATGTTTTATTGTCTTTTATGATTTTTTTATTTTAGTCGCAACGGAAAAAAACATAATATAGGTTGCATAATTGAATACATATAATTTTCATATTATCAGTGAAGACCATATATATCAAAATTTCTTACGTTTATTATTATATTGTGTTGTAAATATTCTTTTCTGCTTGTTTTTATAAACTGAATTGCAAAGTTAAAATATTTATTTAAAGTATATAAGTGAGCTTTAGAACTTTAGCCAGAATTCAAATTAAAATCTGAATTATTTTCGATATACAAAAAAGTTAAAAAAAAAAATTTGAAAAAAAAAATTGAAATAAATTTTCAACGTTGAAAACGTAAAATAAATCTATGACTTCATTTTTTACATTTCTATTTTTTATACATTTCATTGGATATATTCTCAATATCGCAACTAAAACAAATCGTTTAATCAAAAATTGATTAAATTATAATTAAATTAAGTCATAGATTTATTTTGCGTTTTCAATTGCATCTTTTAATGAAAATTCACATTTTGTTTTCTCCAAAAATTGGAGAAACTAATTGATGATCATTATATCATTGATTTACATGATATAGCTATGTAAAATTAATCTTTTATAATCTTAATATGATCCAAAATTCGATTTCGGCAATAAAAATATGAATTTTAAAAACATGTATCTATTATATATCAATTAGATATTGTTATCAAACGTAGAAGAGTTTTATGTTCACTCATTATCAGTGCCAACGATCCTTTCATAATCTCTATATCTATAACTATATTGAAACTATTTCATATTGCATCGCAGGAAAATTCCCCTAATTTTATCAACAGTCATCACCACCATGCTCCAATTTAAAAGGCATTAGTCAGCCTTCAGATTTTAATTTACAATTATTAACTTCCCGTAGGGTAAGTTATAGTAATCGCAAAAAAATCGAAAATGAAAATTTTTATATATCTTTACGTTTCAGAGGTTTCTGAACATTTTGGCATACCTTAGAAAAAATGGATGTATGTGTGTGTGTGTGTGTGTGTGTGTATGTGTGTGTGTGTGTGTATGTATGTATGTGTGTGTATGTATGTGCGGATACAAATTTTCGTCGACGATTTTGGGAACACGGGTCAACCGATTTGAATAATTCAAAAAACATTTGATTTGTATTGATAAGGAGACGTGCTGATTAGTTTTTGGCGAAGGCAGGTCTAGCCGTTCCGAAGATACGGGGCAAAAAGTGCCGAAAACGGTAACTCAGTTTTGAGAGAACGGAGCGTCCAATTTGAATAATTCAAAAACATTTCACTTGTATTGACAAGATGAAAAATCGATAAAATTTTCATGAAGGTAGGTCTAGCAGTTTCGGAGATATGGAGGAAAAAGTAAAAAATGAGCCATTTGGCGGTCAAAAATGATCATTAGACATATGCTCATCAAATTATCAGATATTTATAGCATGAGATTAAAGATCATTAGACAATTATGTTTACAATTTGTTAATCATTCATGAGATTTTAACAATAAGTATACAATTTGTAAACATTTCATGGGTTCCGTACAATGCTTATGCGTTAGACAGCGACGCGGCGCTTACGCGCTTTATATTTTGTCCCTATGCAGTTACAGCAGTACGATTGCTTTGAAAAGAAAGTTCAGATCTTCCACAATATGTCAAAATAAAAAAAAAAAATTTCAAAAAAAAACAAAAAAAAAATTAAAAAAAATTTTTTTTAAAAAAAAATTTTTTCAAAAAAAAGTAATTTTGTCCAATTTATAGTTTCTCAAAAATCTTATTTTTCAAAGTAATTTTTTTTTTCAAAAATGTTAATCGTTTTGAAAAAAAAAATAATTTTGGTACGGGAAGTTCCAGCAATTTGCCTTAAGGCACGATGCCTTAATTGCCTTAAGACAGAATTACACTTACAGCTAGTTGTAAAAATGATGATTTGTAACATTTAATGCATTAAAAACAGGAAACACGTATATTGATTAGAAGAGCTGGAGGTTTGGAACCATTAGTGGCAATAATAAAAGATCGAAAATTGCGAGATGATAAACCATTGATAGCTGCGGCGTCCGGAGCAATATGGAAATGCGCTGCCAATGACGACAACATAAATAAGCTGGATCAGCTCGGGACAGTTTCGGTAAATATAAATTTAATGGGTAAAGCTATCAATAAATCAATCAAATTAAATTAATAAAATACTAAAATGAATAAATTATTTCAATTCAGTATTTAGCGACATGCGCTTGTTAAATTTTAATTATTCAATGCTCATTTTAAGCTCTTTTAGTTCAATTTATTTATTCATTTGACATCACATATGTATATTGCACTATAGAGAAAATTACTATTCAGCGACGACTGTTTTATGCAACTTTGAAATACGTGTGGTGAATATGTCTATATTACAGATATATATATATATATTATATATATATATATATATATATATATAAGCGTTTAACTTTTTAACTTACAAATACAACAAAATGTTCTGTTGAGTATTGTAATGTTGAATAATATAATTGATTTAAATCTAGAAAGAAAGATCGCTACCTTAGTTCCAAAAAATTAAATTGATGAAAACAAGACTTACAACAAAATTGTATGAAAATAATACATTTAATGCTGTTTATAACATTTGTTAATATTTTACATCTTTTATCAATAATTTTGTATGTGCGTATTAAGTCTCTCCTTCGATAACTCAGGTTGTTGGGTTGTAATTTAACCCTTGTAGCTGTGGAATTTATGTATTTGTTGCAGTTCTAATTACGCTATTGATTTGTCACTAAATTCTAATTGAAGAAGATATATTTATTGATTATTTACTACACATGTTACGCGGATTTTAGGTTTAGAAGTAAGCAAAATTAGTCCCATCAAACTCTTTGCTTCCCCCTCTATAAGGGTAGCAACTTTTCGGTGTAAAAGCTTAATGCCATGAAGATTGCTGGCCAATATAACAAAATGAAAATATGTTCGAACAGATTTTCAACATTTTGTTGATTTGAAAAAATTTAGCTGTAATATTTTATTTTACCTCCTGCCAACATTCTTTGGGTTATTTAATCAACTCGTATATATTTACAAATAACTATATGTTCATAAAACTTGATTCAAATAGAAGTTTATATTTGGACATTAAACATTTCACTCCGTTCTTGAATTTAATAATGAAGATTAAACGATTAAATACAGTTTTAAAACACTCTGATAGAAAATATATTCTCATATATTATTAACTCATGATAGCTTAATCAAATAAAACGTGCCGGAGATTATTGAGGTTCAAAATACAATGACACATACGATAAGATTTTGTTACTCCATAAATAGATTGTTTATGAATTTTGATTATTATATTTAAATTCTATGTCATGCAGCGTAATAATGAGCTACACTAACACAAACTGGACGACTTGGTTAGTAGCAAATATAAAATGTTTGTGTAGTTTTCTTGTATGATGAAAATATCATTAATTGAATTAGTCTCAATATATATAATTATTTTAATTACATTATGTGAATTGGCTATATACTATCTAACTTTGAAACAGAAAGCGTGTATGAATGCGCTTAGACATTGAATGAGTAATTTATTTATGAGTAATAATTATAAGTATAGATAACAATTCATGGTCGATAAGTTATGATATTTGAAATATTTAGTATATCATTAAGCATAATTAGCTATGGATATGAATATTTTATATAAATTTCAATTTCCTACATTGCATAAAAAATGGAATGTTGTTGTAAACATATTTTTTTGTGTTATTTCGATTATTTTATAATTATTTTCGATTTTTATAAACAGGCACTAACTGCTTTATTAACTGAAGAAAACGAAGACGTATTAACAAATGTTACAGGCGCCTTATCAGAAATGTTACGATTTAAACACAACGTAGATAACTTGAGACAAGAAAGAGGAATACCTCATTTAGGTAAATAATAGAAATTAAAAGTATTGATATCAATTTACCCCCAAAATATTCGAAATACTCAACCGAAATATTAATCAAAATAAAAAATGATTAATAAATGTGATGTCACATGTCTGATCAGGCTTACCAGGCTGGTAGGCTGGATCTCAGATTTGCCGGAGCAAATAAAATATAATTAAATTCCTCGTAGGCTTGGTGGGTTCTACGCGTAGCAATAATATTGTTACGAACAAAGGATAATAAAAAAAGTATTTTCATACTATGATGGTGATGAAATATGGATTAGTTATGAGAAAACTGTTATATTAGTAATTTATTGAACATGGTTGGAATGTCTCAGGGCCGATTCTACCGTAAAATAGACCAATGTTACGCAGGAGATATACTACATAGCGCTTCTCATATAGAATGGTACTAAATACTTTGAAAATGCCATGTATTTGCTGCGCGATCAGACGTTCTACACATACAATGCAACTTCGCTTATATGTTATTATATAGGGTGGCCCATTTAAAAACTGGAATTTATCGATAGCAACTTGCCTATAGGCCACCCCGTGCGGAATTCGAAGTTGCGATATATGGAAAAAAAACTAAGAATTTTGAGACCTTTCCAACAATGTATAATACTTTATATGTTTTCCTTACAGAAACATCTAAACCGTAAGATCACTAGATCACTAGGACCACTAGATGGACCACCCGTTATTACACCACAAAGATGCAGTTATGATAACATTGTTTCTTTTGAATTTGTGCGTTTTCTAGGTTAGGTTTTCTATTTGGTTAGTACCATTCTGTGTAGCCACTGCGTAATATTGGTCTATTTTACCGCAGAATCGGCCCCTCAACTCAAACTTGTATTCATGTACATACAAATCGTATACATTTATATGTAGATTTTTGTTTAAATATTCAATATTCAAGGCAGAAACTTTTTCGCTAAATTATCCACGTCTGAATTTTTGTTTTTTTTATTAATATCCTCACTCGATGCCTCACTAAAATAATGTATTTCCTTTAATGTAAGATTAAGTAGTATATTATCCCGAATAAAATTATCTACAAGGGATTTATGTAAATAATTATAACATATTTATATTTGAACAAAATTAAATAATTCTTATTACAATTTTTGCAAATGTTCAAAGAAGAAATATTTTTAAATGTTTGTGAATTTATATATGTAGTATTCTTTTTTGATTCACAGTGTCTTTAATACGAGGCTTACGGGCATTTCATATATAGCTGTCTCTACGGAAATCCTCCAAATTGACGTAATATGTAATGCATATTTTCTTTTAAAAAATTCTTAATTTATATTCAAGTTGCGTTGAACAGTATAATATAAGGTTTCGCATAAAAATATAATGTAAAAGTAAAATGTTTACATATCGCAAAAAATGATCAAACATGAAATCTACACAAAAACCACATTTTTTGAACAATTTTTGACATATTATTAGGATATATTTTATTCATTTTACGCACGCGATTACAATGCTATAAAAATTTACAGTTATACTAACAAAGATTTGTCAATTTCCTCGAAACCCTGATCTGAAATATCGAGTTTCCAGTGACGCGATGATCTTTTTTATTACCGATTTAGTACATCTCAGAGACGTCAAATTTACAATTACTATTCGAAGGTATAATATTACAAATAAAGTAAATTCTTGTTGGCATAATCAGCTATCCAGTCAGCTTGATGGGTTTCCGCAAAGATAGGCATACTAAAAATAAATTTCTAAATTTAGCCAGCCTATCACAATTAGAATTCTATATATAATATATACTAATAAAATTATAAATTTTCAACACAAATTAGATAATATTTGTGCTATGCTTTTTTGAGCATTTTAATTAAATTCCCGTAAACCTAATGTTGAATAGATATATATTTAGTGGACCCACTCATTTCAGTGAACCTATTGAAGAGTATACATAACCCATTACTTGAGAATGTTCCACTTGCATTAGCCCAGTGTGCCAAAGAACCGGATGCCATGGCCATCATTGAAGAAATGGATGGCGTTCGATTAATATGGTCAATTTTGAAAAATGTCGATGTGAAAGTAAAAGCAAACGCCGCTTGGGCTTTAAGACCGTGCATAGAAAACGCTACGGTGAGTTTCGATTCAATTCCAATTCATAATAGAAAACTATATTTCATATAGGTACTCATTATCCGAATAATTAATATAACCAAAATTTAAGTATATAAAGCTGCGTAATCGAGTAATTAAGGATCAGCATAGGATTACGATATATTGAATACAGGAACTAGGGGCTATTTGTAATAGAGATAACTAGTAGGCGTTTTTCAATAGGGTTTTAAACTATTTTTTTTTTGTCTCTATTGGACCTGTAAACTGTCCTGCAAAATATTGTCATATTTTACTTGATTTGGTAAAAGAATTTCGTATTCAATAACAAATGAATTACTTTATTTATTAGAGATTATAGAAACGTAATAAATACTATCTATCTAAAGTTTTTTAAATGTTTTCTGAAGTTTATTGTTATTCAATCTATTCAATATTTCCTGAAGTTTGTTGTTATTCAATCTATTGACATTCGTACTTTCTGAAGTTGCACATTCAATTTAATTTAATTTGATTAAAGTGATACCAATGTTTTTATGTACAAATTTTACGAGAGTGAATCTCTGGTTAACGAATTGATTATCTGCAAATTCCCATGAAGTTATACATCTATACGTTATACTTTTCTTTATGGTATGAAATGTACATATCGATAAGACATTCTACGTTATAGATAACCTTGAAGAAAATCACAACAGAGTAATGAAAATAATATTGAGTATATATCGTCAGAATAATATTGATTTACTTTATTACTACATTTTATCGAAAAAGGAATAAATATAAGCAGTGAAAGCATATGTAATCAATGCACGTATTGAATCAACTAAATCAATTGATCAGTATGTGCAGCTCAGAATTTTATAGTTATCCAATATTCTATTTAATTTTTTATTTATGCTATATATGCAATATCAATTAATTTAAATGATATAAATAATGAAAGAATACAAATGAAAAAAAAACGATTTTTCATGCACTCGTCTTCATATTAAATACTGTAATACCAGTTCTAACATCCGAATTTGATGATAGAGAAATAAACTGAAACAAAACTCTTAACACGTTGAAGACCGCGAGCCCACGTGTGGGCAAACGATATGTGATTTATTTGTACATGGTTTATATTGAAAGTATGCACAGTAGCCAATCATCAGACTCAGTAAATTTGAATTATTTTAAATTATTATATAGGGTAGAGAGGAGCTTAAAGGTCCGCGCGTAAAGAAGTCCTCCATATCTCAAAAACAAGTGAAGCTAAGAATTTTTAACAACAATACTTGAAGGTGGTTAGATAAAGATGTGTGCGTAGCCTCAAATCAATTAACGTCACTATCAGAAAATAACCGCCCATGTGCGAAAATCTATAACAAAAGTATTTTCTTCCGTTGTTAGTTAATTTGGTTGTGAGCACTGTTGCCTAGTTTACAAGAATTTAATAGAATTTTAAGCATACGTTATTCAACAGATGTTTTTATATAATCTCTATAATTGCTTACATGTGAAATGGACCAACTGAACCTTTATTCTGGCAAAAGCGTAAACAATAAAAAATAGTAAATAAAAATGTAAATTCAGTTAAAACAAAAAAATTTACAAAGAATAAATTAAAATTATAGTTATTCCAACTCTGTTGATAAATATTTTTGTTGACATACCCGATCTAGGTTATATACAGTGTTATCTTTGTAAAACACCAGTATCAAATAAATATCCCGACATAATTAGAAGAAGACGCAATAGCATTAGTAGAAAGTGAAGAAGAAGAGTTAGTAAAATTAAGACAATGTAAAACGGAGTAAATAATGTCTTGAGCTAGAATTTGAAATGTTGATAAATTAAAAAAAAATAATGTAGAATATAAAATTTGAAATGTTGTAGGTGGTTCAATGCTCTATGTAAGCGAGGCTGAGAAAAAAAAAGAGTTGCAAAGTTACAAAAATGTGTCCACAAAATTTATATTTTGCATTGGTTGAATATTTAGCTATTAGTTCGTGAAATCCCTTTCAAATTAAAATTAAGACATTGCATATGTTTGCCGTGTGGCTGCCTCATTTTACCCCGCCAATGGGGTAAAAAGAAGCAGATGATGAATTATAGAAAAATAGTAAAAAATAGAAAAAAGAATTTTACTGAATATGGTAAGATAGTTGTTTGTTTGATATGTTTTAAGAGTTGCGATGTAGTTCATTCAGTTTAGACAGTGTAACTGTCAGTCAAAAGTAATGTTTTTTTATGCAATCCTCACATGTAAAACACGATTTTCAACGCAGTCTTCAACGTGTTAAATTAAAATTGTATAATAAGTATACTTTCTTTTAGAACAAAATCAACAGTATTTTTAGTGAATCATTTTTGATACATTTTACTATATAATGTACAAAAAACGCAAAGTCGTACCTTTTCAGTAGCACTGTTTCGAACAATTATATAAATTATAGAAATATGTAATTCTTTTGCTTTGGGGAATTATCGGACAAACACAAAATATAAAAATAAGATACTTTTGAAATATCTTTCATAATATGAGAAGAAAGAATAGTTCTTTCTCGCAGGATTCAGGCGAAATGGTAAGAAGCTTCGTAGGCGCTCTAGAACTGGCCGTATCGCTTCTAGATTCAAAAGACACTCGAGTACTCGCCGGTATTTGCGCTGCTATCGCCATCATCGCGACGGACGTTGAAAATTTGGCCGTTATGACTGATCACGGAGTTGTAGGAAAATTGGCAAGATTAGGTTTGTTGTAGATGCAGCATATGCATCATTTACAAAACTCTATTTCACACAACACTTTCAATACGCTATTATTGGCAAGAGCACTTGAATGAATTATAGAAAGTTGGCCTATTGTATATATATATATATTATATAATTGTACATATAAAGTTATATTATAAACCAATACATAATAAGAAAGCCATTATTAAATTCACTCAGTATTTCATCAAATAAAGACTATAATTTTCTGTATAAAAAATATCAGATACTCTCTACGTTTTATTCTTCATTTAACATATAAGTAATATATTTAATGACAATTAGATTTTGTCTATAAATGATACCATTATACGCCAATTTAGAGTATTACTTTCACATTTAAAATGCACGAGTAAAACGAAAATAATTTCACTTTTCATCAATAAAATTAGAATTGACTGGATATAGTCAAGATTTTGATAAAGGGCAAAAAACTGACACAAACATTTATATAAAACTCAATTTGCAAAATTTTTAGTCAACATCCATCGAGAGAAGAACAACAGCCAGTTGTTTTAATACAAGGGAACTTAAAGGGTCTCCCTGCAGCCCTTAAGTATTATTGTATTAGAACAACTTTATCAATAATTGGAAACTTTAAAGATATTGAATTTAGATAAAACTATAATTATAGTAATAACTAATTGTGGGAGACTGTTTTCAAGAGTTTGCATAATATTACCATTCATATTATGGGTGTTTATCATTGGTAAGGTGACCATACGTCCCGGATTGGCCGGGAGAGTCCCAGAATTTAGATAAAACTATAATTATAGTAATAACTAATTGTAGCAGACTGTTTTCAAGAATTTTCATAATATTACCATTCATATTATGGGTGTTTATCATTTGTAAGGTGACCATATGTCCAGGATTGGCCGGGACAGTCCCAGAATTTAGATAAAACTATAATTATAGTAATAACTAATAGTAGCAGACTGTTTTCAAGAGTTTGCATAATATTACCATTCATATTATGGGTGTTTATCATTGGTAAGGTGACCATACGTCCGGGATTGGCCCGGACAGTCCCAGAATTTAGATAAAACTATAATTATAGTAATGACTATTAGTAGCAGACTGTTTTCAGGAATTTGCATAATATTACCATTCATATTATGGGTGTTTATCATTGGTAAGGTGACCATATGTCCCGGATTGGCCGGGACAGTCCCAGAATTTAGATAAAACTATAATTATAGTAATAACTAATAGTAGCAAACTATTTTCAGGAATTTGCATAATATTACCATTGATATTGTGAGTGTTTATCATTGGTAAGGTGACCATATGTCCCGGATTGGCCGGGACAGTCCCAGAAGTTAGATAAAACTATAATTATAGTAATAACTAATAGTAGCAGACTGTTTTCAAGAGTTTGCATAATATTACCATTCATATTATGGGTGTTTACTATTGGTAAGGTGACAATACGTCTCGGATTGGCCGGGACAATCCCGATCTTCCGCCTTGTATCCCGAATTTTTTAAAAGCAATATTTGTCCCGGTTTTAGGTGTTTTGTCCCGGATTTTTAAAAATGTTTTGTTCATCAATATTTATATATAATTCAACTTAAAAATTTGAAATCTCAAAGAAAATCCGATAGTTGCATATAGTGCTTTATCGCGTGCCTGAGATTCCGCCTAGTGGCGATTAGTCAAATGCTTACAAAAATCATTTTCTTAATTTATTTTCAGTTGGAACCACTGATGAAGGGTTACGAGAGTATTTAGCAGACGCTATTGCTAACTGCTGTGGTTGGAGCAATAATCGAATTTTATTCGGTAAGTTGGGCGCGATTACACCATTGGTAGCCTATATGGCTGCAGCGGACCAGCCTAGAGTTCATAAAACTACAGCTCTTGCTTTGTGTCGCCTGAGTGAGGACCCTTTCAACTGCATCACCATGCATCAGGTAAAGGATATAATTTATTACATCTTGTATTCAAATTACTGTCACAACTATATGGGTATGGTAAAGATGATATATCTTTTTATCAAACAGTATAGATATCATATTTACACTATAGATCTTATACGACATAAATTATGTATTCGTAATTTCATGGTTCAAAGTTGAGAAATGTAAAGATTATTTAATTGGCGGGCTCGCCCGTAGGTAAGCGGTTAAGAGCGACGGAACTTGTTTCAGAGGTCCCGGGTTCGATACCCCTTTCGAGCAGCCTGTTGTCAGGCAGCAGTGACAACGATTTTCACTTGGAAATATAGATAGCAATATGTGTTTCCAAGTAAAAACAGCCCTCACCCGGCATTTCTGCACCATACTCGCCCTATAAATAATTGTAATAATATATCATATAGAGATGTGACAACTGATTGGGTTGCCATCTGTCAAACAGACTAGTATTAAGTCAAAATCAACACAACAGCTTATAGGACTATTAGGTTCTGATTGCTGTTCAAAAAAATAAACAAAAATAAAAAAATTGCTCTCCCAACTATATTGGTCAGGTAAAGATAATATATTTTTTTTATCAAACAGTATAAATATCATGTTTAAACTATAAAACTTTTGCAGCATAGATTAGGTTCTCGTGATTTTACGATTTTTCAAAGTTGAGAAATGAAAAGATTATTTGACTTCTTCTCATAATACAATATTCTTTGCAATTTAGCTTACATATTTTTATTTACTATGTATCAGCTTGTTAAGTCTTTCCTTCGATGAACTCAGGTTGTTAGGTTATAATTTAACCTTTCTAGCTACATAATTTATGTATTTGTTGCAAGTTCTTATAACACTAATGATTTGTCACCAAGTTCTAATTGAAGAAGATATACTTATTGAGTGAGAAAAATAAGTCCGATCCAAATCCGCTACCCCTCTACAGGGTAGCAACCATCTGGTGTAAAAGCTCAATGCCATGAAGATTGCTGCCTTCATGGCCAATACATATAATAAAATGATAATACGTCCAAATACTTTGAGAATTAAAATCACCATTGTCAAAATTTATTTATAGTATTTACATCATTCTAAAAATTGGTTATATTTTAGATTTGTTCAAAATGATTAGTTCATATTTTGCAACAATCAATGAATAAATCAAAATATGAAGCATTCGTATATGCAATTCTGAATATTCACATGAAGTACATTTCACGTTTTTCAATTATTAATATTTTCGATCTAAATATAGCACATGCCTTCGCGCTTTTTTGTGCGCAGAATAATTGTATTTGTCAGAACCATTTTGCTTGTTTATTATTGTATTTTTTATTTCGAACAAAAATATATTCGTATATTTTTAGTACATTCGTCAATCACAGAGTAAGTTGCGCTTGTAAGATATCGGATGAAAAATATGGGTTTATTTTACAAAATTGAAAAATGGTATTACTACATTTTTTTCTTTACTGCTTTGTTAACATAAGCATATATAATATATATATTAAATATAATTTAAAAATAGATTAAATTCAATGAACATGTAAATATTAAAAAGCAAGAATAGTTTTTCATGGAAAATATTATTAATAGCTAAATTTTGATTCTTATTGACCAAGTATATTATTTTCACATATGGGGAAGTTTATGCAACTTGCCTTAAGGTAAAACGCAATTCACAACTACTTATTTTATATAGTCAAAATATATTAAGCAACTTGACATTATAGAACATATTTCGTTTTTATTCAAAAATTTCAATTCAAACAGCTTTATAAACATGACGAATATATTCGTAAATAACCAAATTCCGCCTTTTCTATATGACGAGTGTATTCGTCAATCATAGTTAACTGGTTAAGCTGGTTTGAACTAATAAATAATAATAATAATAATAATGCGTAGTAATATTTTTCATGATTTTGACTTTAGACCAGCCGTTTCCAACCTTTTTTGCACCGCGGCCCCTGTTCTAATAAAAAAAGTTCTTGCGTCCCCCCTTAATTTTTTCAACAATTCAATTTTGAAAATCCTCTACTGATATTATCACACTACAAATTAATATGCAATATTATGTAAAAATATGCATATAAACTTTTTTATATCATCTCTAAAGCGTTGGGTTATTTACAAAAATATTATTCTGGAAACAGATGTACCAGCAATATGCTCAAATTGATTGAAATCACAAAATTATTTTCAAAATATAAAAAATATAAATATTTTCAAAAAGTATGAATAAAAAATAAAAATAACTACAAAAAATAAATACAATATTTATTTAAAATCTGTATTATCACAAAATTTTTAAAACAACTCTACACATAGTTATATGTTGTACTCTATTACAGTTCTGTAAGTACATTTTGCGAAAGTAATATGACAATGAAGTATCGCGTAGAGAAAGCTATCAATAAGAAATCAAACGATCTTCTGTTTTTTACTTGCTAAATAATGCAGTGATGTTATTTCATTTCATTCATCGAACGATGTGATATTCTTCGCGAAAATATTCATTGTTCTCTGATAAATATTTTTCAAACATTAAAACTATTATATTACGATCACCTCATTGCGAATCAAAAATTTGTATGGCTTATATTTGAAAAAAAAACACTATAGTAATCGTGCAAAATATGTAGTGAATATTTCGAATGTCTTTTTAATTGGAAAAGATAATGAGAATATGTGTTGTCTTCAAAAAAGCCGAGTGCATCAAAAACAATATCATTGAACGATGACGTTTTGGAATAGTTTAACACTTTTTTATTAAATTGTTTTTACATAGTTCGGTGAAAATAATTGTTACACCTATTACAACAAATACATAAAATATGTTTTTAAATAACCGTAAATAGCGTAGTTATATTATGCAAATATAGGTCGACAGCAATCATTTGCAAAAAAGTTAATTTCGATTCCAAGAATGTGTATTATTCAGTTATTTTCCAATACAATTAAAACTTACGTATTTGCAAAAAACATACCATTTAATATAAACAATAATTAGATTTCATAAGATTTTATATAAACTACATATGTGGCAATTTAATGTTTAGTATTTATAATATGCTTAAAGTTCCAATAAAAACGAAGAGAGAAACACGAATAAAAAAGAAGTTTGACATTGACACGGTATACCAGTTTCTTGTTATGAACATTTAATGCAACCTTGGGGAAACACGGGTTTTTATAAATTTGATGTAATCGGTGATCATGATAAAACATCAAATTATTCAACATTGCAAGACATGCTAGCGATGTGCAAGTTTAATTGCCAACATATCCAAAGTAAAATGCAGAAAGAAAAATCGCAAAAAATATTTTCATTCATTACCACCTCTCTCAAATTTTTGCTATGGTTGGAAAAATTTACAAACATTCGGCTCGAACGCAATTAAACCTTGAACAAATTCTATTAGGATGAAGTAGAAAATCAAAAAATATGCAAATATAAAATCGTTAAATCTTCTATGCATTTTCCTGAATTTTATTGGATATTCAGTATATATCATCACTTGATATTGTAAATATATAGTTAAAAAATAATAAGCTAATAAGCATTTTGTTTTGTCAAAATAATGATTTATCTAACGTTATATCTAGTATCTGAGTTCTATCAAAATCCTAGAAGAGTAAACCTGGGGTTCTCCTTAATGGCAACTCTCGAAGACTCCTCAACTGTTAATTATATATTCGAAATCAAGTAAAATCCGTTAAATACGTAATATCAAGTTGAAAACATAAAAAATTCCATTCTAGATCGTTTCTGAATTTTATATTATTAATAAGACAAATGCATATAGAATAAATAATGTGAATTAAATTTTATATATCTCTATTTTATATTCATAAATATAATTTTGAGATTTAGAAACAACGACATATATTATTCCACTATTTTATGTAAAAGGAAGCAGAGATTGAATAATATTATTAGATAAACTGAAAAGCAAACAGATGATAACACTACAATAATAGAGTTTTGTCATATCAATAAAAAATGTTTTACGGTGTTTACATCGCTTATTCTAAAAATATTTACCAAAATTCAGATATCATGATCCAATTCTCGAAGTATAAAAAATGCTCTCGGGAATTCCGAACAAACCCACACCATAAATAGTGAGAGATTATTGATTATTTATATTTCATTCTCAAAAAGATATTACGTATAACAATAATTCCAAAACTATACATGCTATTGGTCAATTTCATGTTATTTTTAATTGCAGAAATAGTTGCATAGAGAAAGTTGCGTGTAGCTCATTACAGCTTTTTAAAGAGCGTTATTTTCTTTCCGCAATAAAAAGCAACAACAACGTATTTTTAGCCAAAGGAGAAAATGCCTTTTCATATAAATAATACTTATTCGAAAATATTTCAGAAACAAAAAAAAATCATTTTTAATTCGACTATACATGTTCATTTACAATTTCAGAAGAAAGCTTCGTACCAAACTCTACATGAAGTAATCACTTAAACCACTTAAGGGGGTATTCTACTGTAGAAGCATGAATTTTGCCCGGTTTTTGAAGTGCTGTATAAAGGAAACAAATAATATTTTTACGATCGATTTTTTTATCATTTGTTTATTGATATTTTATTATTACATAAAAAAATTATTAAAGGAAAAAATTAGAATTCACAAAGTTATGAGCAGTCAAAGTGGGGGCTCAAAAAAAAAGAGGGTGTCCTGGCGTGCATGATTCCAACCCTCCTGGTGATCCGAAACATAAAAAATAGATGGATTCTTAATTATTATAGATGCCGCTATCGTATGAACCTTGGATAAGTTAAAATAAATATTTTTGTTCGAATGGCGGCAGTTTGAAAAAAAAAATTTTTTTTCATGTTTTTTTTAACAATTCCGAATTTTTAAAAAATACTAAATGAAAAGTTATAGTTTTGGGAAAGGTCCATGCGATAAAGCGATGTATAGAGAAGATCCTCTCCAAATTTGAAGTAAATCGGTTCATTAGAACTCGAGATATCCTTACCGCCAGTTCGAAAAAAGTAGTTCCGAGAAAAACGCGTTCAAAGTTTTGAGACTCGGTCGGACCCGAACCGAGGCCACGTCACTAAAACGGATATAACTCAGGAAATAATTGTAATTTTGAAAAATCCTTTTAATGACATATTTCTGAATAACTAAACTTTGAAAATATAAAGAAAAAAATTTTTCGATTTTTTCAAAATTCTACAGTAGAATACCCCCTTAAAGTATCAAATTGTGCAAACTTTACAAATTTTGATTAAGAAAGATTTAATTATATTTAAAAGTAAGCTCATTATATAAACAAATTGCATTTACTAAATTATTCTTTAATAAAGACTTTTTATATTATTTTTTGCCCGCATATCTATAAAGCTGCTTTCAATACGAAGAATTAAGTGGTACAAAATCATGCTATCTTTCAAATTTATTCAAAAGATGCTTTTTAAAAACTCTTAAATTAATTCACTACTTCAAATATTCCTCTACTAATTGCAAGTCAAAGTAAATTAATATTTTTCAAAATTAAAATTTTTCAAATGCATTTTTTTCATTTTTTACAGAGCATAAAAATCAAGAAAAAAATTGCCTCATGTTTTGATACAATATATTAATCCCCTATGGGCCGAATTTTTGTTTCACATGAAAAAAATAGGGAAACAAAAAGTGACTTATTAAAAACTTACATATACAAATGAAAGAAGATCATTAATAATAAATTTACACAAAGAAAATGTTATTTTCCCAATCAATGTACAAACACTAGTAGCCAGTAATAATTTAAAAATTTATAAATATATATTTAAGTTTATTAATAATGCTAAAATTAATTTATAAGTTAATTATTCAATAAGAATTTGCAGTAAACAATTGTATAAATGGCATCTGGCCTTATGATGTATGTCAAAAACTACAAAAAAAGCCTAGTAAAGGTCATAAAATTGATATTGGATGTCTTGACAACGTTATAGAGTTGAGATTTATACGTCGTCTCAAAAAAATCCATAAAATTATTTGGTAAAATTTCAAAAAACTTGCAATGTGACTATTATCTAATATTTAATTTTGCTATTTCTATCAGTTAGAACAGAACTGAAATAATTCAAGCCTTTGCATACGATTACCCAAAAATTTTAAAAATCAACAGTTATAACAATCACTGTTTAATATAATTTTAAATTTTCGTTGATCAAAATAAATATATATCTAACATATCGAATCTAATATATAAGTTTCATCAAAATCCCAAAAGAGTTAACCTGAAGTTCTCTTTGTAAATGTATTTAGAATATTACACATAATCAAATGTTGAAAATTTAAAATTAAATTTAAATGTTAACGGAAAATTAAAATTTATTCTTCCAGAGTGGTGTGGTTCCATTTCTATTGGAAACGGTCAGTTCTGAAGACACAGCTTTGCAAGACGCGTCTGCAGGTTGCTTATGCAATATAAGACGCCTGGCCTTGGCCGCCGAGAAATTCAAATTAAGACTTTAATGCTATTAAAAGTTACAAGCATTATCTTTCAGTATTTTTTGTACAAGATTTCTAATTATTGCATTTTACAGTACGTTCTGGCCTGAAATTATTATAACTAAAAATCGGTTACTTTCTTGCATTTTGAGCTGTTTTGTTTGAGAAATTTGAACAATTTGAATTGATTTTAGATATATTGATATTTTTTCAGTAATCGATTGAATATTTAATTTAATGAGCTTCAACTAATTAATATAAAATAAAGTTCATATTGTTATTGTAGATCTAATTTAATTATCACCAACATGTTATTTCATTAATTAAAATTTTTAAGAGATTTTCATAATTATAAAGTTGAAAATTTGTAAACAAAATATATTTAAAAAAAATAGTTCGTGGGATATGGAAATATTTATAATTGTTAATTTATTTGTTAAAATAATTAAATAGATTTCAACAATTCAGGAACTCCGCTTCTAGCTAACATTTAAATTAAATTACTGCATTATCACATTATATGTACTTGGTATAATAAGTAGAAACTTCAAAAGTTTGTGTTTTCAATAATGTTCCGCATATGAGGAAGTTTCAATAGCGTGAGAACTAGAGCATGGCAAATTAATGAAGAATATATCAATACCACAAAGATGTATGAATTGCAGCAAAGCTAGGACTTAATAAATGGATTCAGTATTATTGAAGCACCGCATACAAGTTACAAATAGTTGTGTAAATAATTTTTGAATAATTCTGAAAGGACAACTAACAAATTGTAGCTGAAAGTGTATTTTTATGGGATTAAATATAAACTTATGTACAAAATAAAATCTTATTTTTTTGCATAGATTATCTTCTACGACCAAGAAAGAGAGACAGTGATAAAATAGATATATCTAAAGAGTGCTACACTAGTTCGCATTAAATAATTAAAACGCAAGGATTTCATTTGAACCCTTCGATCATAAAATTGTCAAAACCTTTAGAACTACTACTCTTTAGAACACAAGTCTTATGTTATCAATTGAAATTAGTTTTGTTTCTTTGCTATGTCGATTCAATTTCAAATATAATCAATTAATAAAGAATTTTATTTGTATATTTGCTCCATATTTGTGTTTAGTTTGGAATCAAAATTGTTAAAGAACATGTAAATAAATATGTATATACTATGTATATTAGAGTGGTCCTTAATTTGGACATTTTCGAATTTCCTTGCTCCCAAGGGCTCAAATGGTTCCAAATTGCTAAAAAACAATTCTCTGAAAGTTTTAGCTTTTAATATTAACTTTTAGATAGTGCGCAATTCAATCAAATTTCGTATGGAAATAGCATGGAAATTTTTTTGAATAATTTGTAATATAATTAAAAAATGTTAACAGCGCTTATTGTACTTCTTGCTCTTATTTACCAGTATAATTCAGATAAACGTTTCATTAATTATAAATATTTCCAGGACGTACTAATCCTTCTGGTGTCAATTTAAATTATGAAGAGCTTGAAAGCTTCTCATATTTCTAGACTTGTATAATCATTTTAACAAATTGACTGGAATGAAAAAGATACCGAGATCAAATCCCAGTACTTTATATAAAATGAATCGGAACAAGTACGATAGAGCAGAGCTTAAGGTCCGCGGGTAAAAAGATCCATCACCGATAAGTCAAGATAAGTTAATTTTTTTTAACAATTTTTGAAAGTAGAGGGAAAAGATCGAAAGTAAACGGATTTATTTGAAAATCTATTGCAAAAGTGTTTTCTTCCGTTGTTAGTTTTTTTTTTGGTTGTGAACACTGTTGTTTAGTTTACGAGATTTGAATATAATTTTTAAGTATACGTTATTAAATTGTTTTATGAGATGCATTGTTAATTTTGTATTAAATTAGATTATATCAGATTAGATTAGATTCAACAGCTTTTATATGTACCTTTATAAAAGCTTGCATGTGGATAGGGTAAAAAGCACCATCGGAGCTTTTATGCTCGCAAAGTTGTGAACAAGAAAAAATAGCAAATAAAAAAGTAAATTAACTTAAGAAAATAAATTTTACAGAAGATAAGTTAAACATATAGTTATTCTAACTCTGCTGATAAATATTTCTGACAAAATACTAGATCAAGGTTATTTACAGTGTTATCTCTATAAAAAATGTGCCAATGAAATTTATATTTTACATTGGTTGAATAATGTAGCTATTATTCGTAAAATTCCTTTAAAATTAAAAATAAGACATGAAATCTGTTTGCCCCCTGGCCGTCACATGTTACCCAGCCTATGGGGTAAGAAGGACTAGGTGAAAATTTTGAGAAATAGCAAAAAACACATTTCTACAATAAACAATTAGCTGGGAGTTTTACTGAACTTAGATACATAGTTGTTTGATATTTGTTGTGGTGAGAATATAATTTCTCAAAGTCAAATTGGACCTTTGTGCCCCGCACTACCCTATTGTAGAACATTGAATTTATTAGTATACACAAAAATAATGTAAATGGTTAAATGCTATAAGGGCCACGTGAAAAAATGTTGCACCAAAAACTTTCTTTTAGAATATTTTAGGTTTGATTTCACTTGCAGTACTTATATTAAAAACTTCCACAAATTCTCAACTGTTTTATTTAGTTTATAAAAAAATGATGCGTGACAGACAAACGAATAAGAACACAAATATGATTACCTGTTTGAAAAGGGCTTTACATTAATTTCTACTCGGCAAAACATACTACGATTATGATTCCATTTTTTTATGTATATAAACAAGTATGTGACATCAAAAACCTGTGCATGCGCGTGTATGCATGATGATCGAATTTATTCGTTAATATAAAGTCGAGAATGCGCCTTATTGAGCACTCTATCTAAGGAGAGAGAAAGTGGGTCGTTTATACTGAATCTCTGTACATTTAACTATGCTTTCTGCTTGACCAATCATTACAACAAACACTTTCAACATTTCAAAAAGATGCAAGTTATATATTACTTTCACATAATATCCATAAAATTATTACCTGTACACAACAAAAACAATCAGACAACTACAATACATAAGCACAAAGGTAGATGGAATTACTAGAATTAATATATGGAATAATATGGAACATCGTAATATTTATTTATATCAGCTAGTAAGTTGCAGTGAATAATTATAAAATAATGCAAATAACGCTTCCGTGAAAACAAGAATGCAGTAAATGATTCGATGATCAGATCATGATTAATCAAATCGACGATTCCACCTATAACTCAAAAGTATAGTAAAGTATAATTCCTTAACATAAGACCAAATAAACTTTCACATAAAAAATAAACTAGTAAAGTAGGAAACTAAAGCACAAATAAATTCGTGATAAGTGCGCAGTTTCAATATCTCATTTTAAGTATAAGTTTGATGAATATACAAATAAAACTGGTCAAGCAATAATTTATGTGCATTTTAATTTATTATATATATATATATATATATATATATATATATATATATATATATATATATATATATATATATATATATATATATATATATATATATATATATATATAATCATTAGCAAGTGGCGCGTAGTATGTATAGAGCAATCAAGTAGAATAAAACAATTTTAAATCTGACGAATACGATTAAATTTTTTTCTTTTGAATTGTGAATAATTTGAACAGATATACTTAATAATTCAACCAGTTCAATTTAAAATAGTCATATCGGTATCCAATATTCTTAAGTAATTCCATATAATCTTAAGTAATTCAATATTCTAAATATGCAGAAGAGCTATTGGTTCATCAGTCTAAAAATTTATCATACTACTATTTTATGTATAGAATTTACAAACTCAAATTCATCATCAAATTAGTTGAAACAATGGCTTTAACTGCCAAAAATCTATCGATATCACATTCACGAGGCAACTACCCTTTCATATAGATCTATGAAAAGCAAATTTCACATGAAGATTCATTTATATACATACTCTTGGGTCTTCACCTACACTAAAAGTTGAACTGAAAAACTCACATAAAAAATCAACTTGAAACAACCTCAGAAAACTATATCGTCTTTTGGGATCGAGATCAAATCTATAATGAACTATTAGTATACAAAACCATGCTATAACATACGTGGACATACGGCATCCAGTTTTGAGGTTGCGCTAATAAAACTAACTTAATCATAATTCAAAAATTTCAAAACAAAATTTTGAAAAGTTGCCTATCAGCGCCTGAATATGTCCTAAACTGGCTTGTGCATCAAGATACCAATATATTCACCGTTTAAGAAGAAATAGTACGATTTGCAACCAGACATAAAGAATGATTGAGGTCTCATCCCAATCGACTAGAGAAAAACCTTTTGGCTATTAACATCCCAAAGAGGCTAGAAAAAACACACGCGCTAACTCTGCAACATAGATGAAATTTAAATTAATATATATTTTATTCTTTTTTCTTTTTGTTTACTTTTGGGCGTAACCCTCATTGAATTGTACTTTGTATTAAGTATAAGTTGCACGGGCTACTCCTACTAATATCATTTGCTTATCAGATGGCATTTAACTAAATATATTATCTTTAGATTTACTAGATGTCCATTAGAGATAGTTGTGAATTATATGTTTTGGTTGTTTAAACAGCAATCAGAACTATATGTATGTTCTATAAGCTGTTGGCTTGTGAATTTTTTACCTAGATAGAGTTATTAGAATGCAAACCAGTAGTTGATCATTCTCTATCTGATGGAATTTTATTAGATTTTTTATCTACTCTCGATGAGATATATATTGCAACAGACGATAATAATTACATATTGATATTTTTTATAAAAAATGTTTTCTGAGATTCAGAATGCAATTTTAAAAACCAAAAACAATCTTTTTAGTGGCTCTATCATATTATCAAGTTGCACTAGTACTATAATAGGACAATATATAAAATTGCATTGGCGTTATTGATGGAGAGAAGTTTTTTTAAAAAAAACTACGATATATTTAATTGTGGGCTCGCCCGTAGGTAAGCGGTTAAGAGCGATGGGACTTGATTCAGAGGTCCCGGGTTCGATACCCACATCGAGTAGCCTGTTGTCAGGCATCAGTGACAACGATTTTCATTT